AGAGTGGAGCTGGCTCTTGACAGCAATACTGCTGACTCAGCTGTTCTGGGAACACAGCATTGGCTTGAAAATCTTGGTTTTTTTAAAACAATATAGGTGCTGGAAGCCTCTTCCTGATTAATATACAAAAAATACCCTGTTGCAAATCAAGGTGGAGTATGGTGGGCGCGCATACAAGAGACAGTCTGTATGCCAAGGATAGTCTAACTACAGAGAGAAAACAGGCAGCTGGAAAAAAATAGCTGAGACTGTGCAGGTCAAAGTAGGGAGGTCAAAGTCTAGGACTAATCATAGCATTTGGCAGACCTTTAGCATTTCTCCAGTGCTAATTTTATACTTGAATTTTAAACAGGGGGTAGAAATGGCCTGTCTTGAGGCAAAACTTCAAATTTTGTGGTCATACTAGGACTCTGGGAGCTGGGGTTCAAGGCAAACAACCAGCATTGCCTGAGGTGACTGCAGATTCAGGGTCCAATCCTTTGGTTTAGCTCAGCCATAAGGCTGTTGTGTGATTCCTAGTAAGGTGAAATCCTTTCCACAACGGAAATTTTATATTTAAAAATGCTTTTCGTTCACGTTAAATTTGGCACTCTCTTCCTTTCTTATACTTTCTTCTTTCCATTTTTTAAGAAACTCTAATCTGGGATCTAAAACATCAGAAATAATAGAGTAATTTTGTGAGGTTTTTTTTTCTTTTCTTGAAATAACTTAGCATTACTTTTCAGCCTGCTTGAGTGAATAAAGCGATTAACACTTTAATTGAACAGTTCTGCCAATCTGGTAATAATTTTGAACTAACAAGTGGATCTTAAGTCCATGAGAGCTTAAGTTAACCTTTTAACAATGCCAAATGACACCAACTCTTTGAACACGGGATTAGGAAGGGATTGTTACTGCCTGTACACCTCAGGCCGTGCTTAACTCGCCATGAGAGGCCTCCAGCCCTCTGCAGAAGAGGTAGGACAGACTCCGATGTGAGATCCATGCCTCCCTAGACCTTGGTCTAGAACCTTGGGGTACACAGGTCTTCTACGCTGGTCATTTTGCGTAGGACAAAACCACCAAGATTTCCTGTGATCTAAGAGTTCCCCTTGGGTCTTTGATTTCTCGCACTTACGTTTCATCTGTGAATGCAATTCCAAAGTACTCCTTCTCCTTCAGGTTGAAATGAGATGCCACCAAGTCAAGCAACTCCTTGGCCAAAAGCTTTGGCTGGAAAAGAAGAATGAAAGACAGTGATTAACAAGGAGAACTTGGATAGAACTGCACTGTGCTTCTGGAGGGAAACGCTGCCCTTGAAGGTACTGCACTGCTATTGCTTTTATGTTCCCTCCGGTGTTCAAGCTAAATCTGCAAGCAACATTAGCTCCTTGAAATAGTAATTTCCCTTCTAGGTAAATACTAAAAACCTGGTGATTCTGACCCCTTCAGTGCTTAATGTCTCTGCAGACAGATGACCTGCCGCCTGCCAGTGTTCAGACCATGACCAGCACACTCAGGCCTCTCTGATAATTTTAGTTGTTAAAGCTTTTTATCAAGGACCTTTGCAAACACATTTCAGACACCCACTCTCCCACACACAGCACAGATGATACATGCTCATAACACTAAGAAAATACATAGTGCCAAAAGGTAGGATGTGACAGGACCAAATGAGAAGTAAATGACAGAACAAAATAGTTTTCCATTCAGTATTGCTTGTCATTTAGAAATAAGGATATATGCTCAAATTTAGGCATTTGGAAAGAAAGAGAGGAAAGTAACACACACTTTCAAAATAGCCTTTGTAAGAGCATAAAAGCCAAGCTCAGAGAAACTATTCACTCCATACAGAGGATGGTGCATTACTACCTTTTCTGCAAAAAACTTATTTAAGTCTAATGCGTCCTCCTGCCTCTATGAATTTTCACCAGCTCTGCTGAGCTCCTGTGTTTCCTACTGAAGTCTTGGCCATAACAGAGCTCTTGTCCTGACTGTCACCGGTAGGAAACAGAGGTAGAAAGGATCCAGGCAGCTGCAGCCTGTGATCCCACAGCCTCTAATAGCCCCAGATCCCAGAGCTGCAATGGTTACAGCAGCACTGGCACAGCTGGGGTCAGAGATCCCAACAATGTTCCCTGGTGACTGCTCATAAGGATTTGGTCTACAAATCTCTGTGCTGCAAGCCTCGGTGAAAATAAAGCTGTCTGCAGGCTTGACTGCCCCAATGAGTCTGCCAAGCAGCTGAGTAAGAGTTACCCCAGACGTGAACCTGTTGTTAAATGGAGATGAAATGATGATGATGTGCAGAAAATAGGTGGAAGGGACCTGAGAACCCTGCTGTCCTAATTGACTGTCCTGTCCTGTAAATACAAACACAGCTTGTGTTTAAAAAAACCTTGATTTGTACTTAATTTCCAAATAGATTCATAAAACTTTCAACCACTCTCTAAAAATGGTCCTAAATCCAACACTGTCCTAGTACCTGACACAGCTGAGCCAAGCCTGAAATACTTCTCTGGCATTCATGTGAGCGTTACACCGTCCTCCACCCACCCGTCTGCCTGCCACGTCCCAATGCAGTTACCAGCACCATCCATACTGCTCCTTGTCTGTGCACCCAATGCAAGGGTGGTTTCTAGGTCATGCCAGCAAAGAAAGAAGCAATAGCCATGCCTAAATGCAGCAGTAGCTTAAAGCAGCCTCCAAACATGAGGCAAGTTGCTGTGTGGGAAGAACAGCCTGGCGGATAACGAATAGGTGGGATGCAACAATTTTAATTTTAATTCCCAAATCAGACTTCTCAGGCACAACCGTTGGAGTCTCTGCTATGCCTACGCTACCTGCTGCATTGCCTTTCCCAGACTCCTGAACCAGCTCCCGAACGTCACTCAGAGCTGAGCGGACCAGACGTGGGGCTGTGGTCCTGTCCTTTGTCCCCTTGAGTCCCTTCAGGGACCCTAGCAAAGAGCACACCAGCTACGCCAGTCTCTTTGGAGACTCCTCAGAAACTTCTCTCCTGGCATTGGGCTGGGTGGGATGGACATTCCCAGCATCCCTGTCTCCTGTAAGATGAACCTCCTTTTGCCAGAGCTTTTTAAGGACAAGCTACGGTCTGGCTTATGAGGTACCCAGATACTGTGATGCAGAGGATGGTAAGACTGCCATGTGAATTCAGAGAGACGTAGGCTCTGTGCATGTGCTTACTGGGGGCACTGGATGAGTTTTCAGTTTAACAACAGACAAACAAACACAAACTTGTGAAGGAGAGAGAGGAAGGGGGTTTGTGCCTGCCAGTGTGCAGTCTGAGAGACCAAGTCTTGCTTTTCCCCCACTCCTGCCCAAGCCTCCTGTCTCCTTTCCCTCCCAATCGGGCCAAACTCTCTCTGCACCAGAAAGGGATTTCTTCCCAGCCCAGTGCTACCGCAGGAGGAGGGATGGGAATGCACGGCCAGCAATGGGTGTAGGGGAGGGCAGGACTGACCCCTTTGTGGCCAGGGCCACTGGTGGGGACAGTTGGTGGAGGTGAATCTGGGCATCCCCACGACAGCACGCATTGCAGGGGCGGTGCTGCGTGGCTGGCACTGCCTGGCTCCCAGTGCTCTGGGGTGACTCAGTTATTTGATAAATGGGCAATTGTGCTGCCAAGCAAGGAAGCGAGACATCAGCCAGCCTTGCTGGGTGTCCCACCTGAGAGGGCAAGGGTGGGGAAGGGTGGCAAAAAAGCATGCCTCAAACACAGCAGCATTTTCCCAAGCCTCAGTTAAGCACTTGGAGGGGATAGGTTGAGCTTTCGTATTTCGCAAGAAAGCAGAACAGAGCAATAAATGGCTGATGTGAAACAGGCTGGCTGTGGCCACAGGGAGGTGATGGGTCCCTCAGCTTCAGCCAGCCAGCGCTGCCACAAGGGTCACTTGACAAGGGGTAAAATCCCCTTCTGATGTCCAGCCACATCATGGAGAAGCGATGCCCAGCATTCCTTGCCCCACGCACTTCTGCATCCAGCCCCGACATCGAGTGAGGAGCAGCACATGAAAGCACTCGCCTCCAGCCACCCTCCCCAGGCAAGATGGGAGGTGAATGCAACGTGTTGCCGCCTTATCTCTGCTGAGAGAGACCTGGCTGCTGAAAAAGCCATGGAGAGGTGGTCAGCGTGGTGTGACAGCCTTCCCTTCTCTACTGCCTGGTGGCGGCTGCTTCCCTCCCAGCACAGCCCCCCTCCTGCCCCTGGGGCTCGGCAGGGGCACGATCTCCACTGCCCTCGCTGTGGGGCCTCCTCCAAAGCCTGCCGTAGCAGATAAGGGAGGATAACCCTTTGCCTTGCAAGATAAGGGAAAAGAACAATAGATGCAGACCCAGCGCTGGAGTGGTGCCAGGTTAGTTACTGGGCCAGCATCCCTGAAGAGGCTTACAGCAGTGAAGTTAAGCCCTGCTAGTCCCCTCCAAGATTACTTTCCACTCTCCTCTTAAGCTCTGCAAGGTTATTGTCCTTTCCAGTGGGATGAGTCCTCTGTCCTCCCAACACAGATGGGCAACCTGAGTCCTCGGAGGGGAGAGGAGGAAGGGGTCTTCTCCAGGTAGCAAAGACTCTTCAAGACAAACCTGCACAGCAGGGATAAGGGCAGGAAAACCCTGCCAGGCACAAGCCGGGCTGCAGCCCGTCCCACTGTCTCAGGAGAGACCCACACGCTCAATGGTAACAGTTAATCTGCTTGCCGTTCGCAATGGGAACGGCTGAGCAATGACCTCCTTTCATATGAGCTGCACAGACAAAGAGCTCATTAGCAATGCCTGTGGCAAGTTGTTTTAATTCATTATTAATTTCTGGACTTCATTTTCCAGAGGGATATTCATTTTGCATTAATAAAACTTCCATCACAGACACATTGAAGAAGATGGAGAGCACGGAAATCAATAGAAAGCAGGCCCAGGACCTTCTACATCCAATATAGCGGGACGGTCAGTAAGATAGCTTGTGAATCTCACAGGCATAAATCAGGAATAACAGGTGGCATTCAAACCAGAAACCGAACCGTGTCCTCAATGCTGCAGAGCTGCAGAGCTGCAGAGCTGGACTGTGGTGCACTGTGAGCTGCCCAGGCAGATGCTGAGAGCCCTCTGCATCTGCTGCTCTTCATCTTCTTTCTACCCGTACCTTCCTGGTACCCTCCATGTAACCGGCATCAGAGAAAGCAGCCTGGGGGAGCATGTCAGAGCTGCAGCTGGCTGGCCTGAGCTCGTGACAGGGTACCCCAGCAGAAATCCTTCAGCTGGAGCAGGGAGACCTGAGCATGCTTTGCTGGTGGGGGTGGGTTGTCAGAGCAACGTTATTCAGCCAGGGTTTCCCCTGCTGCTCCCTCCAGCTACAGGACCCTCTTTGCAAAGATGTACGTGAAGAAGAATGCACTTTAAATCAGCTGTTATTTGTACTAGAGAAGTCAGCAGGCCCCCAGTTGTCCCAGCACACTGGAGCTGTGGCTCCTGGTGAGCGCTCTCCCCCTGCCAGGAGGAAGGGCTGAGGGACCCATGCTCCCATATAGTGGAGTCTCTGGCACACACAGCAGCCATTTCATACTCAAATACACTGTCCCTGAGGCTTTTCTGCATGGCAGTGAGCCAAGGGCTTTCCCAGCTCTGGACCCCTACCTGTACTCCTCAATTCCTCCTCCAGCCTGGGACAAGCGACACTTTGCAGCCTGGGCTCTCCGGACTTGCAAACACAACACTTTCCACAAAAATTAATACCTCAGTACTGGGTCAATGGATCCACCTGCCAGGCATGATGGCATCAATGCATCATCCCGGGGATTCCTGGTCATCTGTAGAGTGGGCAACTCTTCTGTGAAGTCAAACCTGCCTTGGGAGCACTCTGAGGTTTCTCCCTTCCTACTTGGAGAGGCAGGAGAGCAGAGATGGACTCATTAGGCGCTGCCTCTTTATTAGCAGAATGACCCAGACACCCTTCACTGTGCCCTGGGCCGTGCCTGAGAGGTTTGTATGAAATGCTCCATCATGCTCTGCAACCGCAAAGGGCTTCTGCCTCAGCAGCGAGGAGCACAGCGAGCACATGGCCAGGGCTCTTCTGCAACCCCGGCTCCTGCAGCCTTGAAGCAATGAACTCATTTCCTCCCTCCCCTCCAAAACAACTGAAGTTTGTTCAAATAATGACTTGGAGGAAAGAGAGAGCTTTATTAGTGGTGTCAGGAGGTGGCACGGAAAGAACTGAGCCTCAG